ATTTTAATGCATTCGAAAACAAAAGCAATAACAAGCACCAACCTACGTTAGATAATACCTACATAACATGGACCATTTACGTTTAATTTTATAAATTATATGTATGCGTATGCTTAATGTTTATGAACACTCTGCTGGCACTTGCAACTCAAGCTTTTTAGGTCTCTGAGCGATCCATGCGCATTTATGGCTGCTGTGACTTTCAATTACATTTCGATCGAAAACGCATTTTAGTAATTGAAATGCAGTTGAGTGGCGCACAAAGCGTGTGCGCGTGGATACGAACAAATTACGTTGATTACATAACACCTATATACCATACATGCATATGATCAAAATGTATTTGTACGATTTTTATATAGACTGACAATTTTTGGATAAAAAATAAAAAATAATAAAAAATACGAATCGGTCTTTTAGTTAATTTCTAACACTTTTCTCCTTTTAGCAATATGTTGCCATGAGAGTATGTATAATAGTTCACGTAACGGTTGTTTGTAGCACCATCCCATAAGCAACTAGGCATATAACGCTACATGTAAGTATATGAAAATGTGCACAAACACGAAAAGTATTTTTGTCTGTCTGCCTAGGTAATGGTTAGCTTTGAATAAGCATTCCAAAAACAGTGAATTTTTTAATGCTTGTAATTGAACACAACAGGAAGACTACTCTAGAAGCTCTCAAGCATGTGTAGAACGACTTAAAATGAGAAATGTCTATATTCACAATTGAGCAGAATTCTGTTAGTGCATAAATTGAAATTTCAGGATGATGCTAAAAATCTTAGATTGTTAGACTAGAGACTTGAAGTCATTTTCCAAACGAATTGCATTAGTAATCCATAATTTTATGAAGAACCAAATATCAACTGAACGAAGGATAAATAATGTACATTGTGGTTTCAGACTTTAATGACAGAATGGGAGAGAGTGGGAAAATTAATATCAGAGTCTATACATATCAGAGGTTTGCTCTATCAAAAAAGTAAAATTTTCTGCAGTTCCAGAGTGCTTCTGACGAGATTATATGTACGTACGTCCGTATAATACATGGTTTGTCCGGAATGATTTTCTTTGGACTGTGTTCGGTAGAGGGCATTCCTAGCTAATTAACGAGCGGCTGGTCAGTTGTCTCCGAGCACCTGGAGAGTCAGGACAAACATTTTTCGCGCAACGTGTTTCTGTGAGTTTCAGTTATTTAAATTATACCGAATAATATTTGCAGTCGCTATGTGATAATATATGAAACATGACTATAGTTCGAGTGGATTATTTACGAAGAACCGAATCCCAAACGGAAAGACGCAACATCAACAGCGTAAATTATATAGGCAACATTTGAAGGAAGAAATTGTGGAAAAGTGGTTTTATTAAAAAAAAAAAAAAAAAAAAAAAAAAAAAAAAAAAAAAAAAAAAAAAAAAAAAAAAAAAAAAAAAAAAAAAAAAAAAAAAAAAACAAGACGATGAACCTTGTCACAGGTTAACGGAAAATATAGTAAAATTGTTTGAATAGAGTTTTCAATTACTTCCGCCCCAATCGCATTCACCGAATCGGATTCGGCGCTTTTTTTAAATTATTTCAGACTTCAAAGTAATAATTGTTGGAAAGAAATATGACCCAAAGAGAAGCTAAACTCCGAGACTGAGACCTCAGTCCATATTTCAGTTTTAGTTTACTTAGTACCGAAATTGAACCATACCTTCGTTCACTAAACGAATAGTAATCGTTAGTTTAAGTTTATCAGCCTAGAGACTCACGCTAATTCCAGCATACTTCATTTAATTTAATATTTCACAAGAGTTCTGACTACTACTACCAAAAATATTTATTATGATAATTTAAAGTTCGAAACTTTTGAAGTGAATCTCAGGAAAAATGAATAGTTCTTAACAGGAAATATTTCAAACTGCGATGAATTATCACTTGGAAAATTAGATAGGCGCATATGTATTATACAGTTACTACTAGAAGAAGAAAAATAAATAAAACTGCTTACCTTTTGAATGAGCATCTGACAGACGAGTATGCCCAGTGACCACCAATCGACTGCATGACCGTAAGGCTCACCACGCAACAACTCCGGCGCTGGTAATGAAAAATAAAAAACACACGTATTGTTTGATGAAGTATGTTTGAGCTGGTGTTATTGTAAAATAAAGCAATTTTTATAATTTTAACATTAGCTTGACTTAAGATGTTTAGAAGCAAACAAGATAAACAAAAATGTAATGTTATTCGTTACAGTGCAAATGAAGCGCTTAACAGAACAGAACACACATGTTCATCATCCGCCCTGGTGATCCTACTTTCATATGGACTCTTTAGTTTAAAAATTTGTTGTTATGGAAGGAAGTGGTCGGTGCACGATGTATTGACGATATATTGACATTCAAATTAACAGAGATTTAAAACATTTTTTGTTGCATGCGAGATTTCATGTTATGCGATTTTTTCTCTAATTCTTTGACTGTAAAACAAATAGACAGTTAACAGCCAAGCCACATAATATATGTGACTCTTCTAAGAATGTTGACTTTACATATGTAACTAAAGATTATCCAGATTTACAAGAAGTTAGTATAAATCTCTTCAAAATGATCCTTAAACATTTTAACGGTAATTGAGCTGAAATAGTAACAACAATAATATCTGGGTTCAGTTCTAAATTATATAAGCTTTAGACTCACTTCATTTATAAACAATTTTTGCTTTGTAAATTATTTTTTATATCAAAAAAAAAACAAAAATCGTGAGAGAGTTACAACAATTGCAACAACTACAAAAACACCCTTTGTAAAAATTTAAATTAAAAAAATAAAAATTTTGTTTATATTTAAGTACAGTTTGTCAAAATGCTTAAAGCAGCAACAATGAGATGAACATTTTAGAAAGATATACGTTTGGGTAAAGTAAGATACATGCAACTTTTGTTGTTGTCGAAACCTTGTGCAAATTCACTCATGAAATGTAAATATTGAAACTGAAAATAATTTATAAAAATATGATTTCAATTAAAAGCAAACCAAAGAATTCTTAACAGATAGTATGAAGTAGAAAAAGCTTTAATTTTAACAGCGGCAATGACAAAAATTAGCATACGGCAATAATTTGTATCGAGGTATTCCGTTAGAAGTCTTAGCAAACGAAAAACAACAGAGAGCAGAAAGCGCAGTTTCTCTTACAGAGAGGCCATACCACATACATATATTAAATTCACCGTCTAACACGCTTTTTTTTTGGTCTTGGGAGTTGCAGCAGCTAGAATTTTAATAAAATGTGTAACATATTAAAAATGGCTTGTGCAAAAATGAAATGAAAATCTCAAATTTATGTGCAATTAAAATCAAAAGCTACAGACGAACACACAAACAAACAAACAAACAGACAGACAATAGTGGAGGGAATGAAACTGCACCAACGCCGAGCAAAGCGCACTAAAAATATTCCGAATAAATAACAATGCAATTATTTGATATTTTTTAAAAATTCTGTTTACTTAATATATTTACACATTTCATTTTTCATTTCTCTTGAATTTTGTTTTATATATTTTTTTTTCTTGTTGCATTCATTAGGCATACACAACTAAATGTACAGTTATTTTATATTTATACATATCTATATATTCATTGCTACAACTAAGTGATTAATGTTTTAAATATATATAATATTTGTATATGGTAGAAATCGTCGTAAACACCATTGCTGTTATTGTAATTGTAATTATTAGTATTAAATTACTACATAATTAATATGTCTATTACATTTATGAACTATTCACGAATTGAAGAGATTAATCGCCGCAAGTATTTGCAAGAAATACCTTTAATTTCGCCCTTTAGCATGATTTAAAAACTTTAGACATTGTAAAAGTTCAAATTCATTATTACTTAACAAATAGGTTAGGTTTTAAAATTACAAGAAAAAATTGCCATTTCTATGCTAGTTAAAGTAAAGATTACATGTATATGTGTATATATACCTATATCTGCTCAGCTAAACATTTACTCTGATTTCCATATACTCATTGTCATCATCATCATTATCATTATCTCATCGAATTTAATCAGTTGCTTTAAATACATACATACATACATATACATATGTATGTGTGTAGGCATGAATACAGGTATGTTTACAAGTGTTAATTAATCACTTAAAATTAACTACAGTATATTATGAATCACAATTCTTTTTGCTGTTCTATCAATTATTACTGATGTAGGCAAACTTAGATAACAGTTAAACACAATTGATATTCTTATTTTCACTAAATATGAGCCTTTTTGCATTGAGACAAGCTCTCTTCTAATGCTTCTAAAATTTTTTCATTTTTTAATTTTTTAATTATAAATCCTATTAGTTTAAATATTAGTTTGTGATACGCAGTTGTTTGCAAATATAAAAAAATAAAAACAAAAATAAATTACTACACGCAATATTAAGAGATATTTCATCAGATTTAACTACTGACTAATGGTAATGGCGTATGGATAGATGTATGTATGTATGTTATGTCGCATAGCTTTCACACCCTTCATATCAAGTTAGCAATATTCATTTTGATTTTCAACAAGAATGCATTGATTCTCCTCTCTCATACATACTAAGCACAATATATACATACATAGCTTCAATACTTTTCGTGTATTTTAACATTTACATATACATATGTATGTACGCACATTTAGTGCGCGTGTGTGTGTGTATTAATTAATTACTTAATTAGAATGTGGACAAACTCTTATTACATTTTTTTATTAATTTCTTCGGTTTTTACGACTAATCAAGATTGAAAACCTAACGGTAAAATCGTTGTTGCACTAATTAATTGCAATAGAACTGGAGTTTCGCACTAAATATGAATCACTTGCTTACAACAAAGCTTTGCGTTAATATTTTTACCACAATACAGCTATATACACGTACATAAGACATGAATATGTCTTGTCTAGAGCGCAAAGAAACAAAGGTAAGCAAATTCATTATTTCTTTTCTTTTTGTTTTCTTTTTGCTAACGGTAAATAGCTGCTATTACACTGAATTTAGTTTTGCTCATTTACAGGCTTTTTTTTAGCAGTGTATGTGCTTATTGCGTGCATATGCATGAATGTATGTGTGTGTGTGTATTTAGCGTTTGCTGCTTTGTTAGAATACAAAGCTAAAATTAGTTTTATTCATAATTTGAATATTTCTAAATATTTATTACGGCTGAATTGCAGCGATCAATTTTTTTTTTTTTTTTTGTATTGAATTTTTATTTAGATTTTAGTTTAATAATATTTATAACAATGCTCTTTTGTTCAAGTTCGGAGCTGTTACATTGTGGTGCTTCAAAGTATAATTTAGTATATTTCTTGTATATATTATTGTTTTATATATTAGCGTACTGTTCATACGTACGTATGTATATGGATCGAGTTGGTGGACTGTGTTGAGGGTTTGACATAATTTCGGCCCCAAAAAGTGGCTAATTATATACACGTGTAAAATTCAAGTGTTGCCTAAGAGTTGGATAAACACTTGTGAGTATAAAATATATATTACAGTATATGTGTGTGTAGGTGTAAATGTGGGCGGGGGTTTGTGCTTAAGGACCGTATTTTAAAAGTGATGCAATAAACTGGTTATTTTGTTGTTGGTGTTTTTGTTTTTCAATATAAATTTCAGTGTATGCTAAATTTACTCAAACCATATTTAACGGTATTTTCAGTGTGCACATGGCGACTGTTTCAAATTGTCTCAAGTGTTTTGCTTAACAAATTCAACTTTAAATACATTAAAATTGACAAAAATAAAATTAACAAAAAAAAAAAATTTCAAATTAACATATTTACCAATTCTTAGAAATTTACAAATAATAATTCATTTTTATTAAGTTTTCATTACTTCTTACAATGCTTACACCAAATGAGTGGAGAAATTTCTCCTTAAAAAAAAACTAAAAACTATTTTGTACAGCATAACAGCACGTAGATTGCTACATGGTTTTAGACGTTGGGACATGGGTTGAATCGATTCGATTTCTAAAAAATGTTTAAACGCATACATTCATATACATATGTGCATATATGCACATATTTTTTCAGTTAAAAATCAAAAGTGCGCTTAAGGCATACCCACTCACTCCAAGATTTACATTTGTCGACACATTTTCAGTTAAAAAAAATTTAATACAATTTTCCATTTTCACCCAATAAAGGCAAATTATTTCGTATGCATTTCAGTTAAGCTTGCATCTGCCGCTACAATAATAACAATAACAGCATTGCACTAAATAGCCTTTGCAAGTTTTCATTTGATTTTAGTTTTCAATGCATTGCTTTTGAATTTCGCTATTTCGCTTTTAATATCCAATTACGTTTTTTTAAAAAGAAAGTATAGTGTGTGAATATAGTGAAATGTTAAAATATTTTCATTTCAATAATTTGTTTGTTGCTGTAAGTGCGTAGCAAGCACATTATCGACACATACATACATATGTCGCTTTAAGTTTAATATATTTTCTTTCTCTATACATCAATGCAACACATACACAACAACAACGATGAACATCAATGGTACATACTAAAAACACATCTACATTTATTATGCATATTACTTGCACTTGCTTCTTCACCGCGTTTATTACAATTCATTTCATAAAAACGTTAACTACTTAGTATCATGGGTAGTACACGTTGGGTTTGGTGAGTTCGTTCAATTGATATAATTCATTCGCTACAACAGAATAATCAATCTATAGCATTTATTGTGCTATTACTTTAAACATTTTTACTTTTTTTTTTTTGTTTTTCAATTGCTCGTGCTTACAGTGGTAATTTTTAGGCTGTTTGTTACATATCAAATTATAAAATACAGTACTATAGCAGTTCATTAGCCCTTGCATTGCTACTACAAAGAGGATATGTAGTAAAAAAAAATATAAATGTATACATATATTGAACTTACAAAACGAAAATTATAAAAGTACTTAAGGAATACGAGCTTGTATGCGCAGTTCAAATCAAATATACGCGGGCTGTATATCTGCTGATTATAAGGCTTAAGATATAGAACTTAGAAATAAAAACTACGCATATATGCATATCTACTTGAATGAGTTCAAATCAAGTTTAGGATCACAAAATCATAACAAATAAAATATAAGCAAAACTTATTGAGAATGAGTTCCGTGTAACCCAATTTAATGTAGGTTAATATATTTTCTATGCAAGGTACGCTGACTTAAAAAATACAATTTAACTTTAAGATAAAAAAAGATTTGATAACATAATAATGGATAACGTATAAAAAAATAAAATTTAATTAATTATGCAGACCAGTGCATAAGCAAAAATAATAATGATAATAAATAAATAAAATTTAATTCAAGACACTAGTGTGTATAAAGCAAATATTGAACGCATTGACACATTTCCGATCAAAATATTTTAGGTTAAGGGAATTTCAAAATTTTCAAGATTTTTAAATTTTCAAAATTTTTCATGTTTTAAATCATAAACATTTTCAATTTAAATTTGGTTGTAATAAATATTGGGAATGCTATGACAACACTTTGCTGAATTGTGGCATTGTTCGCTTTATATTTACGTGTAATTACATTGATAAACTTGAAACTGAGAATATTATTTTCCATATTTAGTAAGAGCATTGCAGCTGCAATATTAGTTACCATTATTGATTTTGTGGGGTTTTATACAGCGTCTTGGCAATACTACACAAACTGACAAGCAACCAGCAAAGAGCGTTCGCGTTTGAGTTACGTAGAAGCTTGAGACCAATTCGCAGTTAAAATTTAGTCAACAACACTTTTGTGTTTTTTAATATTCACACTTCAGTTATGACAAATTTCAAATTCAGTTAAAACAATGAAGACAAACAATGAGATAAACATCGACAGGCAAACGCGAATGTTGAAACGAGTGTTGGGCGTTTATCACAATTTGAACACAGCATTTTTGCGCTTGTACGCGCTCACGAATCGAGGGCTCTATTGTAATGGTTTGCTAGGTGTTTCAGTTTGTGTAGGGTGGAACACAAGTCAATTTAGCCGTAAACAATTAACAATTAAGTTGAGTTTAGCAACTATCTATTTAAATTTATATTGTATTTCAGCGTTCAGCGTGATAAATTGCTATTTGAGTGTAACTAAAATGAGCCGAGGCGATTGTGCTGACATAAGAACAGCAAAATTATGCCACCCACAACAGCCAAAATTGATTTGCGCTCGCTAGGCTTGGCATCTATACAGGTGGTGGTTTGGAGCGCGTTCAGCTCGATGTTGACATGTTCGCTCAACGCTTTGCTACGGTGTGCTCGGCTGACTTGAGAAATAATAATACTTGTACCCTTATTGAAGTACTCTCCACCGGCCACAACAATCGTGTCCTTAGCATATACAGGTTGTAATTCTGCGCTTACTTGCTGTTGTGGTTTCTCTTCATGCTCTTGTTGTTGATGTTTTGATTGTTGTTTTTGCATTTTTTGGCGGTGGCTACGCTCACTCGCAAGCATTACACGTCACAACGTGAACGTCTCCTTAATTATCTTCTTAACGGTATTGGTCACCGAGGGCGTTTGTGAGCCAGCAGTCGTGTAATCAAACTTAAAGAGATACGGCTGCACATCGGGATATGATGTGTCAAAAATCAAGTCTAATTCATTTTGACTTGGCGTTTTCGGCACATAATCCGAACGATTCATAAGCTCAGTGATGTAGATAACTTTTTCGGTTAGAAGATCAGAGACGTTCTCTCTGCTAATTTGGCGATCATCTGCATTTTCATACTTTATGAGATCTAAATGAACTGTCCACACCTCCCATGGTATGCACTCTTGTTGAAATAGCCAACGCGATTTGCGTTTCTGAAAGAATTCCAAGCTTATTTGGCCGGAACCGCAACTTTCATTGGAGCGTAACTTCTCGCTGAAAACGTTGATGGCTCGTTTAACGGTGCGCAGCAGCCCCTCGGAAGTGCAACAAACGTATGTGAAATCAATGAAATCACAATCCACGTCGGTGTAGCCAATAGTGCCGATGGAATATTGTGCATCGCCCGTATACATGTATTTGCCTTGGCAGCGATGGAAAAGCACCGTATGAAAGATGCTGGCAACGGCTTCGTCCACTTGACGGCCCTCGATGGTGAGGTCGAAAACCTGCGAGCGAGCGTTCATCTTGTTGGGGGAATAGGAGCGCACAGCTACTGACGCTGTAGCATAAAACGTGTTCGCGCGCGGTTGATAACGATGTTTAGTGTTTGAAATTTGACACTCTCAATGACAGTTAGTAATGAGCGTTAATTTCTTGCAGCATATTCTTCAACTATTTCAAAAATTAATTGTTTCTATGTGTTTTTTTCACTAAGCAATTAAATAGTTTAAACGAACCGTTTAAATTAATTCAAGATTTGTACAGTTTTTGGTGTTTAAAATAATTGAAACGTAATTTTCTAAACAATTTGTTAATTTTTTTTCAACACAGTTATCGGTTTGTTTGTTGTTGCTGTTCGCCTCGTTAACAGTTAGCTATTTCTTTTGTTGTTATTTTTGCACAAATCTGCGTTTCTATCAAACTATTTGTTTAATTTGGTTGTTTGAAAGATTTAAAACTGTTTTGTTTAGTAGCCCTTTTTCTAGTAAGGGTTTACCGTTAAACACATTCTATTTATATTAAGAAGGATTGCTTTTGTCTTTTGGTTCAAATCGTACCCATATATTGGAAAGTGCCGCACATAGTCCTCGTTGTTGCACCTAAGCGAAGCCACTTACTAAGTCCGAAATCCGTTATTTTTATGTGAAAGTTGGCGGTGAGCAGTATGTTTTCCGGCTTAACATCACGATATATTACACCAGCATTATGGAGAAAATCTACAGTGGTATAAATCAAAATCATACAGTTATTAGAAGGGCGAGGACAAAAATGCAAAGAGTTTAATTACCAATGGCCAGTGCGATTTCCGCTAAATATACCCTTATGAGATCCAATGAGAAATGAGTTAGTTTAGTGAAGAGTTCACCATTCGGCACATATTCCGAAACTGTAACGAATTAAATAATAAAGTTAATGTTATTGTTGTTGTTTTAACGGTTATCTAGTCCCCATTAGGATGATATAATAAAGTTAATACTTTTAATTAGTAATATTTCTAATAAGCGAATTTTATCAGAAAAATTCCATGTCGTTTCACCTAACTTATTTGAAGTTGACCCGCCAAATAGTTTCGGAGATGTTTTCGTAGTCAGTGAGAAAAATGTATATAATATGACTGAACCGATCAACTTGAAATTTTCATGTAAACTTTTACATATATTTTTCAGTTAATGACGAGTCGGTGAGAAAAATTTCTCGGAAATGGCAAGATCGATCAGCATGAAATTTTCACAAGAAACATATATTTGTCAGGTAATGATCGAAGGCATCAAATTAATAATTTTCACTTCTTAAGCACCTCTGAAGTTTAACTTTCTTTCACAAAGAGCGATTGTTATTTAGGAAGGCTCCATTTTGTCAAAAACCAAAGTCTTCTTCAAAGTTCTTTCGGTTATAACCTGCATTCATCTCTAATTTTAAAGTATTTATAAAAAAAATGCAAAAAATGTATTTTTAAGGTCTTGCAAGTGGATATAACCTATAAGAGTTACATTCATATTCTATCTTCGCCGATTTACGAAAGTATAATTAATTGTGCAACTTTGACGAAAGTCTCAAAATTGAAATAGAATTTCCTGCGCTCGTTTTATACGCCTTAAACTCATATCGCACTTTAATAATGGAGTACGCGATTTAAAACCGCAGGAAAAATCGTTCATACGCACTTTCAAATATTGTAGAGAGTTCAAGCAAACGCTTACTAGGATTTAGTTTAATCTTTAGCATGCAATTTCATAATGTAATGCTTATTTTGAATCATCTTACGTATATGTAAATTACGACGATTCTGCCATGAATCCACTTGTTGCACAATAAACGAATGGTGACCGCACAACTTTTGAATATCCGCTTCGTCTTTTATTTGCTGCACACTGTTCTCTTCGATTATCTGTAAAAGCCATAACAGCATGAGTTAGTAATTGCCAGAAGCAAAAAAACAAAAAAGTAGTAACAAATTAGTCATAAGATACAATAAAAAGATCCGATTGTAAAATTCGAGTTTGCGTCAATTGATTTCATACTTACTTTGGACTTTTTCAACACTTTGAGTGCATAAATAGGCGCAGGATGTAATGGTGTTGTCGCCGAGCAGTTCGCGGCTGCAGTCGTTTGTTGTTGTTGTGTTAAATCTTGCGCGTAGCGCTTATTAATTACTTTGAATACAACACCGAATGCACCCTTGGCCACTAAATCTACAATGTGGAATTGATCGTTGCGACTGGCTTCCTTAAAATGTGAACTGAATATGGCATTGGTAAGTGGCTTATGCCATGGGGTCTTAGAGCGACGCTGCTGTGTCGATGTTAAACTGTTGACAATACGAAATTATTACATACAAATATACAAACAATAATAATAATAATGAATAAACACACAGACAAGCATACAAAACTAGTTAAACGGTTATATGCCTTGTTTGTGTGTATGTAGATATATTGGCGGTTCAATTACCTTTTTCTGGTTGACTTATTGCGATTGTGAAATGAATTCCTATTAGCACCACCAGTAAAGCTCCAATTTAGACGGCCACTTAAGCTGCCAAAACTCCAAGCAGAAGCCTGTAAATGCGAGAAAAAGTTGGCGAGTTGTTAAAAATGTGTTTATGATAAAGAATTGTTTACAAATAATTTTTTTTTAATGTTGTTTGCTATATATATTTTTTTTTTTTGAAAAAAGTAGCACTTGAAGAATCAATGGCCCGTTTAGCGTTCGCATCAATGGAGAACCGTTAAGGCAAGCAGTCATTAATTAAAATTGATACGATTATGTTATTTATAAATTCAACGTTGATACAGAGCACTGAACCTTCGATAATGGCATACGTGCACATTTGGCGATTTGAACTTGTCCACCTTAAAACTGTGCGAAATGCAATGCATGTACTCCAATTAATTGCCTGTTGGACTTGAAGTGGGGTGTCGATTACGGGAAAGATTTAATTTAGCACAATCATAAAAAAAAACATGACTTTGATTGGCTGGGAGAATAGTTGATACAAAGGTGATTGGAGTATTATGACACAGTATAACACATTTTTTTGCAGTGCGTTCTAACGGTTTGCTTTTTGTGACGATATTTCACACAGCCAAGTGTTTATTATTGTCATTATATTGTTGTTATAACTATTCGAATACGTTATTATAACAGAAGTGATTATTACATGCGTAGATTGTTTGTATGTGTGCGTGCCGTAGACTCATTTACATAATAACAACAAAATTTCTGAGCGAATTGAAAGTTGTAACGGCATAAAAAGTGAGTTCGAAAACAAATATGTATGCATGCTCGTGTACTTTACGGTATAGTATAATGTCGTAAGTTATGTTATGTATTGTGTTATCAGGAAAATAACATACTTGCACACGAATGCTGTACTGCAAGCGCTTTTCTTTAACAACAACAGTACTATATACGAAGCGCATGTGAAAACAGTATGTTTTCACGCGCAATTTTTACATACATAAATGTATGTATGTATATATTTACATATAGAGTACAAAACACGAAGTCACAATAAAACAAGGTAGTAAACAACAAGTTATTAGTGCTGAAATATTACTACGTTCTGGAAAAATATTGTATATGATGTTTTCAATAAAGTAATTTAGATTTGTGGAGAGAAAATGTCGTCAAACCGTATTGTTCTAAATATAGCAAACAAATTTCAAAATTAAATAAACAAATAGTTAAAAATGTGTAAGTATTTTCAATGTAAAACTAATACTACATGCATATTTAGGTATACTACATACAATCGTCATCTAAAATGCAAAACAACGTATCATCAAAAAACTCGAATTTTTTTTATTACTTATGATTCACTACATCTTATTACATACATACATATGTATAGCCAATAGCCATTTAGCATGAAATTTTCAGCTCTCGATACCAGATATAACCATTTTATAACCAAAACTTAAATTTGGTTTCAATATGAGGGAATCTTTATATGTATATTCTTTTCTTCGCCTGTTATGGCTATGAACATTTAGCACCATAATTTACATACGTTAATATAATAATGCATTTTAGTGATATTATTCCAAAAAATGAAAAATTTTGTGAAATAACAAGTGATTTGTTTTTTTCGCTTTGCTATGATATTTTTCTAAATTATTTTTAATGTAAAAAAAATGCAATTGCGCTTCAAAAACACTTCTGGAACCAAACAAAAAAAAAAAAAAAAAACAATTTTTTCAAAATCTTCATATTACATTAGAAAACCGAATATCAATTCACGTATTTTAAAAGTTTGAATATAAAATATATATTTATGTATGTATGTAGTATTCCACGTAGTTTAACAATATTTTCAACAAAAATATTTTTATAAGAGCTTATTTTACATAAATAAAAAATTACAAAATGTTTTTGAACATGTTCGTGACTATAAATATTTTACAACTAATGTAAATGCGCTCGTAATGCTAATATGTGTAATTTAAATGATTTGTTGGTGTAATTTAAATTGACAAAAGCCTCTATTAATTTAGCGTTTTAAATTAGTAGTAATTTACATAAATCATTTATTTAAAAAAAGTTACTATCAATAGAAAATTACATTACGTACTTTTCGTAAACATTGGTGAATCTTATCAAAACTTGTCACTGATAGCCTTTGAAATGTTAGCGAACTCAACTTTGAAATAACATATTGCATGCATTAAGACAAAAAATATGATCATTTCGATATTGCCGATTTATAATTTTTGGAGTTAAAACATTTAATATTTACGAAAGTATTATAAATTTCTAAAGAAAATATCAACTTAAGATTTTCTTACTGTTAAAAATTTACAAAGCGCAAGATTTGTGGGAATTTAAAAAACCAAATAAAATTCAAAAAATCAGAAAATTTGACACACTACCATGTATGTATAACTCAGCATGACATCCAAAACATATTTTTCACTTTTTCCTCAAATACTTCTTCGGAAGCTAGAAATCTTGGCACAGCATTTTACACATTTTCAAAGAGTAACAAAAAAATCCCGTACCAAAAAAATGCGCGAAAAAATAACTTTATCGGCATATTCTGCAAATAAAACGAACATCTTTAATTAACTGTAGCCAATAAACTCTCCAAATGTAAAACTGTAATCAGCTGATGTTTGTTTACGTTTTACATACATACAAAGCCTTTCTCACTTTTGCTATAAGAAATTTACCACGCGATGTGGTGAGTTGTGAGCTGCGTGTTTTGAGGACGTAGTAAGGCTTTTTTCAATGCATGATTGTTTATGTATGCCTATGTGTGTATTCGTACTAGCAATGACACTGTTGGGATGTAGCAAATGGAACAGAAACAGATTTTCAAACATTTCTGTTCTTGATTCAAGCGAACAGCAACAGAAATGTGAGTTCGATATATGGAAACTAAAAGTATGAAGTTTTTGTTCTAAAATATTTTATTTTTAGCTGGGTTTTAATACGCTGCCGCAGACTTTACGGCATTTCCTGTCAATTATATGTTTTTGCCACTGCTCTGAATTCGCCAGTTTAGTCACAAACATACAATATATACCATACATGTCTGTCTACATATAAA